GAGAGGGAGGGAGGCAGAGAGAGAGAGAGAGAGAGAGAGAGAGAGAGAGAGAGAGAGAGGGGGGGGGGGGGGAGGGAGGAGTCCAGCTGATGGCTGGGGTGTTTCGCAATTTGTATTGGCCATCGTTCTTCACCGCAGCGTGGCTGCGGCGGGTCCACTTGTTGATCAAAAGTTTCAAAACATCAACAAAAAGCAGAAAAATATTTGAGAATACTTAATCCACATGCGACTCATATGTTCAAGGAACTCCCTTTTGCAACTTGAGGACTAGAGAGTATACTCACACACTCCTTTCATTTCCATTCCTCATCCCCGCCCCACCCTCGCCCTCGGCCTCCCAATAACCAAGTAGCATTAGATATTGCTTTGATTGAATTTTTAACCTGTGCACCATCATCTCTAAGTGTGTATGAGTGAATTGGTAGGCAGGTCTTAACCAACCCACTCTGCATCTCCCCTCTTTGGAAAGAGGGAGCAACTTTTCCTCTCGCTTAATTAGCTTTTCCTAAAAAAGAAATGGTATTCTGGCCTCTCTCTCTCTCTCACTCAAGTTTTCTTATATGGTCTGCTTTCTCTGCTAGCCGGCTACACTCACCGGTTTTTGCTTCGACCCTCCTTGTGACCAGATGAATATTCGTGAGACGCTGAGTGTCTTTGTGCTGCTTCTATTTGTGCGCTTCACTTCTGTTCACTGCCATAAACCACCAGTACACAGCCATACATCGGCCACGGGCCCCTCACCGCAACTTTCAGAGGCCGGAAATGCGACAAAGGCCGTTGATGAAATTTATCAATGGCGGCCCGGTCCCGAAAGTTGTGGTGGTGGGGACCAGTTCTTTTTCTGCAAGGCTGGGGCTGTGTACTGGTGGTTTGACCTCTAAAGAGTCTACATGCATTGCTCATGGTTTTGTATTATTTCTTTGTTGTGTGTGCCTTGTGGTAGGCGATCTCTTTGACGTGAGCTTTCAACTTTACATGCTGTCTGCCATGTGCTCAGTGTGCTTTATAAGTTCATATTCTGTGCTCTGTACTCTTTAGCATGTGCTAACCACTTTCTTTTCTGCTGCACTATGTGAGCTCTTTGTTCACTGCTTCATGCTAAAAATGCTATGCGCTCAAAGCTCGGCACATTGTGCCCTGTGGGCCTGTGGCCTGTGCTTTGTGCCATGTGGTAAGTACTCCTTGCCCCGCACCAATGCTGGGTGCTATATGCTGTCCTTTGTGTTCCACGCTTTGTACTCTCTGCTATATGCTATGCGCTATTTTGTGCTTTGCGCTCTGTGCTATCGTGCTATGTTCTGTCCCCGGTGTTTGATGATTTGTGCTCTCTGCTATGTGCTTTATGCAATGTGCTGTTATGTGTTATGTGCTATGTGCTATGTGCTAATGTGCTGCGTGCTATGTGCTATGTGCTATGTGCCATGTGTTAATGTGCTATGAGCTATGTGCTATGTGCTATGTGCCATGTGCTATGTGCTATCTGCTATGCGCTATGTGCAATGTGCTGGTATATGCTATCTGGTATGTGCTATGTGCTATGTGCTCCATGCATCCTGATTTATGTCATCTAAACCAAACAGCATGTCTATGTGTCCATGCGCTATTATGTGCTTGCCATGTGGTATGTGCCATGTGCCATGTGCTCCATGCTTCCTAATTTTTGACATCTGAAAACTCTAAACCAAACAAAATGTGTATGTGTCTTGTTTCCCCCCTACCTGCATGGAATCAGAGTGTGCACATCCTCTTCACATCCATGCAAGCCACAAGGATGGATGCTTCTGACTCACATGTACTTGTATGGAATGCGAAGTCTGCTGAAGTCCACGAGGTCAACTCGTATGGTGCGTAAATTGCTAAATTCTGCACAAGGACCTTTTGAATTTTCTCCCATTCTTTAGCCCTTAACATTATTGTATCCATCAGTATTTTATTTTCAGTTTCAAACTACAAAGACCTGGCTACCAAGTTGTCCACGAAAAGCTAGGCTACCAGCCGGACCGCCCAGGTCACCCTATTTTCGCGGGCGGCCCGGCCATGCAAGGACCAGGGAAGTTCCCAGCCAGAAAAAAA